CAGACAAACTCACTGATGAAGCTTACACTACAATAATAGATGTATGCAGAGGACTTTTCAGAAAACATTTGCTGACGCATTAAGACAAGCTAATGATATATATGTAAGAAAACATTATATCTCAAGCTAAGTTACAAGTGGCTTTGACCATATCTTAAACGAAATGAACTTAGTCTGCAGAATCAAGTTCACCAATTTAATTCGAGAGTTTCGGAATAAAACAAGTGTAAAATTCTAGAAAACTTCACCGGAGATGCTGATTAAAGAAACACTATGTGAAGAAATTCCGGAGAATCCTGATAAATTCGTATTCAACTTGTCAAGTTATAAACTGAGTTAGACAGAAACAGAAGCACTTTCACTAGCATTCAGATTCCGCATTCCGACGAAATTTACCAACAAAATTGATGTCGAAACACAATTCGAAGGTTTATACCATCAACTGTGCGAATTAAAACCAGTGGATGACGAAAAACAAGGTTGGTTTAAATCTCGAATTGTCTTCCTCTGCCCAAGAACGAACTCAAATGTGGTGATTGACAATTTCTATCTTTGTATTGTTCAAATACTTACTGTTGTTTGTGGTAGACGTTAAATGCCATGTTCTAGTAGCGCTGTTAAAATTTCCCTTGGAAATTTTTTTTTGTCAATAATTTTTAATGAAATTGCGTTATATGTTATCTGGATTGATGAGAATTCCCATTTTCTGGCCTGTTATTTTGGTGTCCGCGTCATGTAATCTGACTGCGACACCCCCTAGCATATTGGTTGCAACGATCAGTGTTTCAGGCGAACTGTAGCAAAATATCGCTATAGTGAGAAAGATAGGATAGTTGAAGGGTAATTTCATCTACACAAATAATCTACTTTATTTAGATGCTGCACCTTTCGTCATGGTATCATTCAATGGAGACTTCACGTCTCAGGATATTAATTCAGCCTATTTACGTGTGAAGAACAGTCCTTTTTGACAAAAGAATTCTATCAGTACTTCGAAATCACCTGTAAATGCTAACAGAACCTTCTGTGGGAATAGAAGTAATCATGTAGATGTGTCTCACCGTGTGTGTTTGGACAGGAATTATCGTAAGTTGAGAGGTTATTTCTAAGTGGATTTCATGTATATTTGCACTGTTTAGTGTAGTGTAATATGAGTTATGTGGACTCAATGTATAAAAAATACCTCAACTTTATTTATATTGTGCCATTGTCTCCTTAGCTGACTGCTTGGCTAGCAAACGTAGGTGGTTGTCATGATTATTGCAAGTGCAGTGCCGTGGAGAAGGCAATCACTCGTTTAAATTCCTTACTGTGTCGCTTAGTGCATTAATTCAGTGTATAGTATTATTATACACATGGATTGTGTCGATTATGAGAACTGAATCTAGTCAGCTCTATTACTATCAATCTACTGTCTGTTATGCCATTCTCACTGGCACTGTAAACTTAATGCTGCACTGTTTTTGATCACCAGTAGTGGTGATGAATTTTTCCTGAATTTTCCATTAACATGAAGCAGTACAGATGCAGTGTCACGATCGAATGTCTAGGTTGCATTATATGTCATTGTTATCCTCATCGACGCAACAGGTCTGCGTATCTTACAATATTTTAAGTGTTTCTCTATGCTGCTAACACTGTGCATAGTTGCTTAGAGTTGAAGCATGTTCAGCTTATATTTGATGGCTATAGATTCCTAAATATGAGAATGTAATTTCTGTAGGATTCATAAAACTATGCTCATTAGACATTACTGAGATTATGGATCAATTTCTAAGTTACACATTTGCAATACTTCATTTAATGTAAACGTATTCAGTGTGAAGTTGATCTGCAACTAAGGTTAATGAGAGTATGACGCCTCAACAGTATGGAAGCTTCAAAGATTGTCTTGATATTTGCGTGTAATCCTTTAATACTGGAAAACATTTGAGGTCTATTGATGCTTATAGTGCCAATATAAAAACCAGCTGAAAACTACATATACATTTATTTGCATGAGATATTACTTAGTATTAACCGAATCAGTGTATTCAGTGTGTGCTAATATGTAGAATTATCTTTCATAACTTCATGTTGTGCTAGTCCTTACATGTGCTTTATTTTTTTCAGGTATACGGAAGTTGTCGAATATGAAACCAGCGGAAATATCATCCGGACAAACTAACGTTAATACTCTTCATCGGGATTTTCTTTTGTAAATTAATGAAATGTTTAATATACTCTTCAATTCTACTTCCTCTAGACTTTTTCAGTGCGTCGCTATACTATGTGCTTTTGTAATAAGTGAATTCGGATCAATGCATGTTAAGCTTAGTTAGAGGGATGGAGATTTACTATAGTATTATGAGACTGTTACTTTAGCCCTTCGTAAGATTTCGTGTCTGTTTCTATACAGTAGCACATTGTAAAAACTAAGTAAGATTTAGCAATTTAAATAATAATTCTGTACTGTTCGATACGCTAAAATCGCCTTATCTAGCCAGTTGCAATTCTGTACACTGTTAAACGCCAAGTATGAAGTACAAGTAAATTTAATGACTTAGGCTTGACAGCTACTTCACTAATCTGTTAATATGCAGTGACATCGTCAAATAGACTGTTCACTTGACAGTGAGCAAAGAAACAATTTTCATCTATTTCTAATATGCCGTTGAATCATGTGATGTTATCTAATATCCATCATTTCTATAATCAACAACTGCGGTGTTTGCATATCTACTTTATGAATATTAAATAACTTACGCATTTATGCATCTGATTACCTCCAGTATTACAACAGTATATCCTATTCATTTGATGTGTGTACGGTAAACAAGGCATTCATACATTCTCCCACAAATACCAAGGTTTCTGGTGTCACAAGTGTTAATGAGAGTTGCTTCCTTGGTTTCAATACAAACCTTTTTTCATCTAGTAAATAAACAATCTGCAATTAAAAGTGTTCTCTGAGCTGGTTGGTTTAGTCGCGAAGCTTTCGTCGTCCTTCCGGACAACATCTTCAGCGCCATATTTAGCACAGAGTGAAATGATTTAAATTTCTTCTTCTTCAGAGAACACTTTTAATTGCAAATCATCCACCTGAGCTACAAATCTTCTCTATTATTTCAAAATAAACAATCTCCTCCATCCATCTTTATATACCTTCAAGTTTTACTTTTATTATTTCTATTATATTTATGGTCCTGTTGATTCTTTGTTTTCACTTTCATAACTGCAAACACCAACTTATCTCTATGACTGCTGTAATCTTTGTTTTTCCCCTCACCATATCATGTAAAGAGAACATCATATTCAATATTTTTAATCATGCAAGGATTTGTATACCGCATCGACAATACTGTGTGAAACAAGCCCACGGCAATTTCCACTTGTATTATTATCATTACCTTAGCTGCTATCATTATTATTATTTCCATTTTATATGCTGCATGTTTTTTATTTTTTTATATTAACCCTATTGTAAATGTAGAAAAATTTTCTGTGTGATTAATTTTATTTATAATTGAGGAAATTAGATGCAATTTTGTGATTAATGCTGAAATTTCCATTCTGTATCACAAGTACTGTTTTTGGAATAAAGTAAATCATTATTATTATTAAATGACGTTCTAAAATATCACCAGTCGTTGAACCCTTCTTGTAGTTCCAGATTGTTTGCCTAGCCTTATTCTTCAAAAATGTACAGATATCCTCTCACATATTTAATGAATCTTTTTCCAGAAATGTTGTGCCAGCCGTTTGGAAGGACTTTAAAATTGTACCTGTACCTAAGTCGTCTAATGGAACATGTTTTAAATTTTGACCTATTGCTATTACCTCCCCTTTTGTAAAAGCTATGGAAAAGTTACTCTTACTTAATCTTCAACCTTCACTTAAAGCCTTTAACGAACTCAAATAATTCGCCTATAAACACAGTAGAAGTAATTTAGATGCAGCTGCAGTCTTGCATCACAACATTTTCTCCATTATAGTCGTCCAGTACCAATTGTATTTTTGTTTGACGAACTTAATGTACATACGCATACGAAATGAAATATGTCAAGTGCGCGGACTAACTATTCCGGTGTCTTTTAATTCGCATCTACACTGTACTAAGATGAACAGCTCTCTATTAGTAGTCAGAAAATGCTTTTAAACTAAATCCTTCCAAATGTCAGATTGTCAATTTCAGTTTCCGATGTAAGAGAAAGTCAGGTGAAGCTGTTAATTCCTATGACCGTTGCAAAATTGATGACAGTGATATAGAGCTCAAGTCTGACTTTAAGTATCTCGGACTAATTCATCAAACAGCGTATTAGCCTTAAATGTATATCACACGCATGCATGAGCTAGGTATGCAAACCAAGGTAAACGCTGATATAAGTATAAAACTTGGGCACTGTGGTAGAGTATAACTCCATTATGGATAAGATTTTATTTTGATAAATCAGACAGTGTTGTACAGTTATATTAACTGATGACGTTTCGAGCACAAACGCTAGCACGGTACACTCATTATTTAAAAAACTAACTCATATTTGAGAACTACGATTTGACCGGCTTTACAACGTTTAATATATTTAGACACAATAGACATACACTGCTTACTTCTATGACGCATTACCTAAAGCTACCCCCTTGCTACTACCTAAGTGAGCAACTCAACGTTATCTTTGAATTACAAAGTAAAAGCGGACATCCTGAGAGCTTTCTGGGTAAAAAGATCGTCTCCTAGTCGAGAAAATAAACATATCCTAATCTCTTCACGAAAGCGTTTAGAGGTATTTATCCTATCGCCTCAAATGACTCACTATTTGCTGTCATTTAAAAAGTAAAAACAAATTTATCGAAGGCAGTGTGCTTATGGTTTCTAGACATCATAATGCACCATGAGGAAAAAGCTTTATTCATAGGGTTATAGCAATTAGATGCGCGATATAAATCCGAAACTCAACGACTACGATTCTCAATCACAAAACATTCTACTTTGCTACCTAATCGTCTCAATAGATGCTTCGCCAAGAAAAAGAAGACCACTGGTTCAAAGAAAATTTATTTAAAGTTTTCTTATAAATCATGGGCAACCGTGTTTATAACCACGGAGAAATCACAAGCATCCGAAAAATAGGAATTTCATTATTTGAACTGAAACAAGCAATTTGTAACCAGCCAATTTTTTCACCCCGATTAATAATCAGCTTCTCAGACGGTTGTAAATTCGAAACGTTATTCTTGCTAGTGAAATTCTTACCGAACACTCACCAGATCATCGTACGTTAGCCGCTTTTCAAATCCTTTTGAAACAAATAAAATGGTTGTTAACACCGCGTTTACTACAGGCAGTCCTAGTTCGTGCGTTTGGATCTAGTACACTAGGCATTAACAATCATTTAGGGATTTCCTATTGCTTCCTAATTTTGCTTCCAAAAGTACATACAAACACCACACATTCATACTTCACATGTGGCTCACCCTTGCTTGATTCTCTCACAATATACCTGATTTTTTAGCTGACAACAGACACCTTGTCGAAAAGCTCCAAAGCATTTTAAACTTCAAACCAGGTTCTAAATTCTCTGGGTTTAATTAGTTCTTCGAAAACTTTGCTAATATCAACCCTGATGGTGCTCTCTTCACCGGATTCATTCGTAGATTGTTGCATGCTGTAAACATGAACGTGAGAGACATTTTTTTCCAGATTCCTACATATTAAGTAACCAACTGAGCCAGCAGCAATAACGGCAACCAAAAATGAACTGGAAACAATGGCTTCTGCTTCCCAAACATGTTCACGTGTATAATCTCCAAGATTTCTACACAGTACTAATTCATTAATAGCTGAAAAACAATTAAAACACTGAAACCATGCATGAATGCAACGTATGAAACAATTACAATGAAACGAATGCACTGACCTGGTGGCAAAAACTTTCGAAACAAACGAAATAACTAATTTCAACAGAAATGGAAACAATAATGAAGTGAAACGCAACATTTGTGAACAATGTGCATCAAGATAAGTTGTGAATAACTGCTGGATAAACGGAAAAATCGATGTGTAAACGAACAGCAACGGAACTGCAATCCAACATGGCCGACTAACATGGACGAAAATGACCTTTGAGCGTCTCACTCCATCAATGACCTTGTACATGGCGTTTAATTTCTGCCGTTGTTTGTTAATATATTTATTATTTTGATTTGAAATATAATACCGCCAAATGCAAATTCCCAAATTCATCCCTCTCTGTGTTTTGTTAGAGTTCCTGTAATTCGGTCATTGCGAAATACAAATACTACTATCACAAATAACAATCACATTTTGGCGTCGCAATGGAATTAAATAATCTTGGAAAGTTTCCTATAAATGGTTCACCGCGGGAAATCTCCGATTATCTTGAATGTTTCGACGCATGTCGAAGAATGTTCGTGATGACAAAATTCCAGCTCATTTTACTACTGCTATTGGGCTAGATGCGTACAGCTACTGAAACTCTGTCATTTCCAGATAAACCAATTTCTCTGTCTCATGATAAACTCCGTGAACTTTTAACAAATCACTTCCACATAACAACTTTCGAAACACGAGAGAGGGCTCGGTTCAACAAACTTGTTCGTGCTCCCAACCAGAAGATTAGAGACTTTATTCTTCAACTTCAGATACAAGCTTCAAAGTGCAACTTTGGAGATCAGCTTCATACTCAACTACGTGATCGTCTAATTGCTGGAATCAATATTCCTAAGTTAGAGAAAGAGTTGGTTCAGATACCTTCCTGCACCTTTCAAACTGCCAAGGATTTATGTATTACGTATGAAGATGTCAACAGTGACTACACAGCTGCCACTACGTCAGAGTCTGATGTCATGCTGTCCAAAGTTGATAATAAAAGTGTTCATAGAAAGAAATCCAAACTGCCGTCCACATGTAATAGAATGCAGCCGAAAGCAAGAACATCAAACCGTGTTTTTCATGTGGGAAGCTTCATCTACGAAGCACTTGTCGTTTTCGGAGTACTAAGTGCCATAAATGTGGTAAAATTGGGCACATCAAGTCTGTTTGTAGAAGTTCAAATACTTACGCTACTCATGATTCTTCCAAACTGTCTGATAAAATGAAGTCAATGTCTCTTTCAACTTTTCACAATACTCAATCTCATCTAGTGAGAAACTTCACTACAAGTTCAGGCAAGTCTCACTGTTTTATAATTGATACTGGGAGTACTGAATCTATAATTTCTAAGAAAGATTTACTATCGCTTTGTAAGCATGCTCAGGTAGACCCTACTACTAGTTCAATTACAGGCATAACTGGTCATAAACTACCTCTTATTGGTGCAACTAATATTTGTTTGAAGTCAGACAGTGGTAATTTTGTGAATATCCCCTTTCTTGTTAGTGAATATGGTCCATCTTTATTGGGATTGAAAGCCCTTAGATTGTTAAATGTTGAAACCTCACTTTGTACTGAGTTGTTTGATGAATCTTTGTTCAGAGAATTAGTTTTTCAATGTTCAAAGTGTGTAGGTGGCATGAAGATTCAGCCCATCCATCTTGAAATAGAGGGTGATCCTATCTTCCTAAAGCGCTGATTAATTCCATATGGTTTGCGAGATGCAGTTAAGAAAGAGTTGGACAAGTTGGTTGAGCAGGGCATACTTATGCCAGTTGAATCTTCGAATTGGGCTACTCCCATTGTCACACCTGTCTCTGTCTGTCTGGATTCTACATAGAACTTGGCACCGAAGTGCAGCAGTTCGAGTTGCCACGTTCCAAATAGCACACAAAGGTAGGTAGACAGGAAAATGAGTGAAGAGAATCAATAGAGTTTTGACAAGTATAAGGGTGAAACAGAATGAGTAATGGTAGAAAGGAATATGAAAGATTACAGAGACTGAATACATCTGCGTAAGCCATTGACAACGATTTTGAGCCATGTCACTTATTGTCTCCAGCCATTGATTCTTAGAGTCCCGAGGGCGGGCCCCAACCCGGAAGTCTTCATCTCCCTACCTGACTCAGTTTAACTGTCAGGGATTTCATGGATTGATGAGGCCATGTTTTTGTTTGGCCACCACTTACCCTTTTCCAACCTGCACCTATATCAGCTAGTAACGCCCGTCGGGGGAGACGATGGTTAGGCATGCGCAGCACGTGGCCTAACCATCTCAATCTATGTAACTTCATAGCCTCTTCGAGTGATTTTCCCTCTTTACCCAACACTCTACGCCTAACGTCAACATTACTTACTTTATTATGCCACCTAACGTGAGAAAGAGATCGTAAACATCTGTGGTCAAAAACAGACAATCTCTTCATGTCTTCCGCGAACTGCTGAGCAGTATACACGTCCCTTGGTTGACAGCCGGATGTCATGCCTACGCCAGAGACGGTGTAAGTTAGCGAAAGCAGCCCGAGGTTTTTGGATCCGTGCTGAGATTTCGTCACCAATCAATCAATTCGTTGGTGCTGATACAACTTCCCAAATAGGTGAAGTGGTCAACATGTTCTATCACTTCACTCCCTATCACTACTAAGCTAGGAGTTGACGTAGTCCAGTCATTCCTGTAGCAGGATCTTACATTTTACAGGGGCGAATCGCATGCCAAACATACGAAGATTGCTGCTCAAGGTGTTCAGAAGACTCTGCTGTATTTTGTCAGCGTCCTCTCCTAACAGGACTATGTCGTCTGCGTATTCTAAGTCCATAAGGCTAGGCTATTCCCTGGTAACAGGTCGATTCGTAAGTCGTTAAGTTCAGTTAAGGATACTTCCATTAGCATATCTATGATGAAGTTAAACAGAAAAGGGTAAAGTGGACATCCCTGACGGACACCACTGGTTGTTGTCAATTCAGATGACAATTCCCCATAAGCCCTTACACAGCTACGTGAGTTTGAGTAGAGTGCCTTGATTAGTGGAATGTACTTTCTTGGCACTCCCTTCATAGTCAAACATTGCCATAGAACCTCTCGATCCACGGAGTCATTGTCACACCACTAAAGGCTGACGGAAAAACACCGAGAAATTGTGGTGATGTGGTGGTGTAGTCGTCTTCTACAGCAAAGTTGCACTACGCTAGAAAGCGAAGATATTCTCTACAAGCTACATGGCTCAAAATACTTTTCCAAAATAGATCTAAAAGATGCTTATTTGCAAATTCCTCTTGACGAAGCTTCTAGTGCATTAACAACCATTAATACTCCATTTGGATTGTTCAAGTATAAGTTCTTGCCTTTTGGTTTAAAGGTTTCTCCTGCAATATTTCAAAAAGTAATAAATCAGATGATAGATGGATTAGATGGTGTTGAGTCTTACCAAGACGATATTATAGTTCATGGTCCGAACATCGAATTGCATTATTATTATTATTATTATTATTATTATTATTATTATTTATTATTATTATTTCCTTTAGTTCCTAGAGGACGATGCGCGCGAAGGCGCAGCTGAAATTGTGGCATGGCGTGGGACGGATGGCTGGTTTTCTACGGCCAGCCCCTGTCACTTGGAGGCCTATGATGGCTTCCAATCCTCATCAATGGAATTATTTGGTAAGTTTATTTTATTTTTATATTATTTTTATTAGTAGTTTTCATGTTTAGGCTAGGTTTTAGCTTCATGTTTACTATGCTGGGGCATTTAGGGACCATACGGTCATAGTTTGTTTAGGGATGCTCTGGCATAGGAAAGCTATATATCAATCGATAGCTCTCGACGAGATCTATCCTTTGACATTGGTTTCGACCCTTGTAGCCTCTCCTCAGCCTTCCTCAGGATCTTTGATATCTGGGCTTGCGCCCTCTGGGGTTATGCTGCCAAAAATTTTCCAGGGAGGCTAGGACTTAGGTGAAGTTATATATCAATCGATGGCTCTCGACGAGATCTACCCATTGGTACCGGTATCGCACCTTATAGCTTCTCCTCAGCCGAATAGGGAATTTTTTCAAAGGCTACAGGGGAAACCTGTTTCTAGGCCTAGAGTTCATGCCGCTGGCTGTTCTCTTGACATTTTTAGCTCCGCGACCTCAGGTTGTATGCCGTTGTGTATGTAGCTAGGGGGCATTACCAACCATAGGGCAGCAGGGGGGCAGAGACTGCTAGGCAGGAAAATCCTCGTATTTTTCTTAGGAATAGCTTTTACCCTCTGATTTATATACCATTGGATTCCTCTCGACGAGACAAATCGATTGGTACCTGTCTCGTCCCTGTAGGAGCTATGGCTTCTTTAAGTTCAGCAGTTATCCTCCTATTTTAGCGTTTCTTAGGGTGAACATGCTCGTTCATTTCATCCACGATGTTATCGGCAACGGGGAGCTGAAACTTGACGATCGCTTGACAGCAGGTATCATCACTTCACCGCCTCACCGATACATCATGGTAACGGAATAGTAAGGTAAGATTAGTTGTAGTTCTCTCTCTCATCCACTAGGGATACAAAGCACATGGTAGCGAGGTTAGGAAATTTAACCGGTTCGACATGAACGGGTACGGTTTCGTACTTTTGGAAAATGGCCCAAGACTACACCCCCCGAGGTGCCATTTTAAGATATATGAACGGGTGTAAATCATTGGTCCGAGGAAGTAGTCGTATTGCCGGGGCAGTAGGGGATGTGGCGGCAGTAAGGTGTTCTCCTCGGGCGACCAGCATGAGTTCAGGCCGTAGTACACGGTTCTGGGCGCACCCCCCTTTTTCGGAAAGAGGGGGTTAGAAAAGGTCGGCCCCAATAAAAATGTGCATCCCACTCTCACCCAGAAGAGGCATACCACGGCCCCGGTGAGTGTACCAACGCGGTCGAAACCAAACTTTGCCCGCTCAAAATGATAAGGAAACCGAGGCTGACCGGCAGCTTAACCGGACTTCTACTGATATGACTGTGGCGACGGTATCAGTAGAAGATAACTTGGGTCGTCACACCGTTCCTAGCGTAGCTCCGTCGATAGTAGCAGCGGGCGCCAACCAAATTTGTCAAACCTCACAACCTACTGATACATTGGCGACGGTATCAGTGGGGGCTGGACTTAGTCGTCATCAATCCAACCCCATGAACCAAACGAATTCGAAAAATATCATGCCGGATCGGCCGTGGCCCGGATCAACAACGACCGCGCTTTCTGCTGCCGTGTCACAGGGCAGAAGTGATAAGTATACTACTGAGACACACCAGGCCGCG